ACCTTGAACAGCCTGGGAGCTCGCGGGTCCGTCCCCACGTCCACCACGTAGATGCGGGAGGAGATGAAGCTGGGGAGGATCAGGCGGTTCCGCTTCTTGGTGGCGTCCCCGAAGCAGCTGCTGCAGGCGTTCCAGCCCGAGTGGTGCAGCTCGTCCCCCACGTTGGGCATGGGCAGGCGGTGGATCACCTGCGGGGCCCCAGCCCTGCTCAGACGGGCGAGCTGGGCGCAGCGGGACCCCCGCAGGGTCGGGGTGCCCCAGGAAAAGCCTCACCCCGCAGAGGGGAGTGATGGCACCGGGGGGATCCCGAGGACAGGGCAAGAAGTGCCGGGTAAGCGCGGGAGGGCTCAGAGTCGTGAGGAGAACCAGACGGGCAGCAGCTTTGGGGAGCACGAAGGGCAAAGCACCCCGCTGGTCCCCGGGCCAGCGCCAAGAGAAAGAGTTTGGAACCTGGCAATAGTGCGGAGATTCGGGGTTGACGTCCACAGTGGCCAGAAAGTCGGGTTTCTTTCTCCCCGTGTTCCTGTAGATGCAGGGCACGTACACAATCTCCTCCCGGGGACCTGCCAAGGCAGAAACGTTGCGTGAGCATCAGCACCAACCTGGCAGGGGCCCGTGGCCAGCCTGGACCCCCCTCCCGGGCAGCTGGGGTGTTCCCGTACGGACGGGGCGGTTGGGTCTCCACCTCCCCGCCCTACCAGGATAAAGGACTGCCAAAGCCAGGGCTAGTGGGGAAGAACTGGTTTAGGAAATGCTGAGGAAGAGGGAACGGTGGAAAACAGGCGCGGAGAGGTGCTTTGGGAGCTTTGGACTTGATCCAAACCAGGTCATAGCTGCCTCGGCAGCACAGGCCCTTTGTGAAGCTCCATGGAGCGGCGCCTGCGCAGGTGCCAGAGCCCCAGGGATCCCTCCCCGCGGCCGCAGTGGCACCGGAGCCGCGGAGGGAACCCGGCCACGGGGCTCCCGAGGCCTCCAAGGGCCCCCGAGCACCTCCCCGGCCCCTGCTCTGGAGCCCGACGTCTGCACGGACGAGCGATTCGCGTGCCAGAGCTGCTCGGCACTGCTGAAGGAACCAGGTAGTCCCCGAGGGAACGTGCCAGAGTAGCAGGGACGTCGGGGTTTGTGCGGTTTGCTCTTAATTCCGATCGCTGCCTGGCCCTGCCAGCACACAGGGGTGTTTTGAAGACATTTTCTTGGATCAAAGCCGTTTCAGGGCGAGGAATTGGGGCTCATGAGCAAACTCCAGAGCTCTCTAAGGTCTCAAGGATGCGTGTGCTAAGCCCTAGAGAAGAGGATTAAGGGAGGGACGGCCAGGGATGATGCATTCACCGGGCTCCCCACACCAGAGCGCCGGAACTGCGGCAGCGCAGCGAGCGGGATTCTCGGACAAAGTGTCCAGGCCTGTGAGGAAGCAGCCCCCGGGGCTCCACGTTGTGATCCCCCCATCAGGAGCAGGGCGCAAAGTAAAACCAGCGTGGTCCCCTCTCCCTCCCCGCGTTGGGCAATAAACCGCCTCGGAGAAACCCAACAATCCCGCTTGGGTTTGCAGCAGGAAGCCACAGGTGACTGCGCTGCAGGCGGCGACCCACCCCAAGCCGCCATAAAAACCCGAAAAGGTTTGTTCTGGCACCACGCTGTCGTTGTGCAACTGATGCTTGGCCTCAGGACAGGCCGGACGCGAAACCATCCGCTTCCCTCACGCTTGCTGGGAGCCTCCTCATTTAATGGGGTTAATTGCTGACGCCCTCCCGAAAGCAGCGTTCTGATCTTCTCCTAAATCCCAGGCAGCGCAGGGCTTTGCCCTCCTCGCCGGGTTTCAGACTTGCCTTTCATGGCGTCCAGCGGCGAGGCGAAGCCGGGCCCACACGCTCCACACTTCTCTGCGTCGAGAAGAGCAGAAACACACAGGAATTAGATGGCGGCGAGTTCTTTTCATCCCTTTCCGTGAAGGAACCGCTCGCTGGAGCGGCCGCGCACGCTCCCGCCCCGTGGCAATGCCCGAGGTGAGCCAGGTTGCCCATGGGCATCCAGGTGACCCCCAGAAAGGTTCGGGGCCAGGACAAGCCAGCGGCGCGCTCCTGGCGGGGACAGGGACGCGGCTCCGAGCGTGCGCCCCCGTCGCGTCCTCATGGCGGAGGGGAAGGGGCGACGCCAGGCTGCGTGGCCTCGGGGGGACACCGAGAGCTCTGCGCTGCTTCTGCGAGGAGGAGGAGGAGGAGGAGGAGTAGTGGAGGCAGCATGGCTGGGCTCTGCACCAGGGCAGAGGGAGGGGAACAGATTCTCCCGGGAGCTGAGCGGGGAGGGAGCGTCCCCCCGCTGCGGGGTGAGGAGGGGCATGTGCCCAAGCCCAGGCTCCGCTTGTGGCTCCTCCCGACCCTCTCTGGGGACGTTAATGAAAAACTTTCGCACAAAAAATCCCGTTTCCACCCGGGACATTCAGTCTGAGGGCGTCAGGCTCCTCGCCAGCCCCCAGCATCACCCCGGGAGCCCCCGTCACGCTGCCGCGGGTCTCCGGGGCACTTTGAACCCTGCCAGGTTCCCCCCCCCCCAGAAGGACCCCTTCCCCCTGAGGAGAGGGAGGAAACCCCTGGCCCAACCCGACGACTTGGCTTTGCTGCGTCAGCTGCTCCTTCGGGTTTGTTCTCACTTGTTTCATCCCTCGTGTCCCTGCTGCCCCAGGGAAACGCTCCCACCCGAAGCGCGGAGGAACCCCCCCTCCAGCTCCCTTCTCCTTGCACCCCTCCCGTGACACCAGCCCCTCCAAAGCCAGCCTGCGCGCGGAGCAGCTCATCCCAAAGCCCAGCCTGCGCAAGCTGCGGTGCATAAATGAGGGAAGAGTCGCGTGGCTTTCCATCACCAGTCTCCCTCAACGTTTCCCGGCACTTGAGACAATAAACCTGGCCAGAGAGAACAACCACGTCCGTTCCTAGGTTGGGATTTATTTTTTTTTTTACGTTCTGTTTTCTGGGCGTCAGAGAAACGAAACCCCGAGTGCCAGTGCCCGGCGAGTTTAGGAGGAGCCCAGCGCGGCGCCCATGGGCAAAGGCACGGAGCCACCAGCAGTGCCGAGCCTTCTCCTCTCTGGAGACGACTCAGCGGCGAGATCTCTTACCTGTGCTGGAGGCTGGGCTGGATCCCACCTGCTGGGGAGAAGGAGCCGATCCCGCCTGCATCCTGCCTGCCAGGAGCGCGTCCAGAGGGAGCTGCGGCGCTGCGGGGTTCAGCGCTGCGGGGAGCGGGATGGGGAGAAGGAGGGTTTGGAAGAAGGATGCCAAGGGGAGGATCCACACGCTGGGGCTGTGGGAGGTCCCGGGGCAGCCTTTAGCGTCTCACAGCGCTGGAAACGTGCCGGGAAGCTCTGGCGCTCCCAGAACCTTCCCCCCTCCCACATGGGCCGCGGCCGGGGCTGGTTCTGCGCTGCACAGCACACTCATCCTCACACGCTGGGGAAACGGGAGCTTTTGGGAAAGCAGACTGTTTCCCCCCTGGGCAGAGGCAGCGTCTCGGGGGGTGTCACGGGGCAGGCACCGCGCTTCCAACCACAGAAACCACTTTGTGGGGTTGCAGATGTCAATCCCCACGGAAAAAGAAGAGTGAGGATGCGCGTTTCGGGTGGGATGACACCCCTGATTTAGGGTGTCGGTGGCTGGACGCGGGTGTCAGGCCACAGGGCAGGGCTCTGGGTGTCACGCTCCAGCAGCACCCCAGGGGTGACTCCCACCTCCTGGACCCCGAGACCTGGGGGAATGTCGTCAGCCCTGGCCTGTGAGAAGAGACCCCCCAAGGCAGCAACTCCTCCCACGTCGCCGGACACCTCGCTGGAGCCGTGGGACTGCTCTCACCAGGGGATGGTTCCTCTCCTGAGAACGTTAAGGGTGCACAGGAGAGCTGCAGGCCATGGGAAGCGTGAAGAAAGACAGTGGGGATATTTTCTTCCACGGTAAATATGTAAAATATTAAAATTCATAAGGATTCACATTGGAGCCACATTTTTGCAAACTCTGGGTCTCAGGAGGAGTGACAGGCTCTCCTGCCCAGCCAGAGCTCCTGCCGTGGGGATTTCTAAGACCCAGAAACACTCAACAGCCACCTCTGGGCACAACGTAGAAAAGCTCCAATGAAATGAGGCACGTGGAGATGTAGCTGATGCAAAGAAAAGTTTTATTTGCGTTTAAAGCGGAACACAAGAACAAACCAGTGTCGGGAAACAGGCACCTCTTCTCAAAGCGAAGCTCTCCCAAGCCCTTCAGCCGTGAGGCGCATCCACCCGGGCACGGGGGAAGCGGCCAGGAGGGCTCTGGCGCATGTCCTGCTCATCCCCAGAGCCCAGCAACGGCCCTGGGCTGCGCGCCGAGTCACCCCCGGGGATTGTGTCCTGAGACCCTGAGACCCCGAGACCCCGAGACCATGCCACGTGCCACCGTTCACTGGTTTGCCCGAACCCAGCCCTTGCAACTCGGCAGAGCTTCCGTAGCTGCTCTTAGCAGAAAGCCAGACCCTAGACCCAACTACCCTACGCTACTTCTAGACGGCTGCGCTACGGAAGGGAGAAGAGAGGAAGCTCCCAGGCGGCGCCTAGGCCGGGATGTCGGAGGTGGAATCGCCACAAGAGAAGCGGATGTTATGGGCAAGGCAAGGCCCGCAGGGCTCCTTTCCAAAATCCACCAGGAAGTTCTTGTTGACGGTGAGGCCGCCCTTCTCAGTGTCCACATCGATCTGGAGCATGACGGAGCCTTCCCTGCGAGGGGACGGGAGCGCAGCCGTTAGAGGGAGCAAAGCCGCGCCCTGGGCAGGAGATCCTGCCCGTCACCCTCCTGCTGGCGAAGGAGGACGAGGCTCTCCCTGAGCATCTCGTCCTCTGCAGGGAGGGCCGGAGGCTCAGGCTCGAGGCTCTCCCGGAGCTCTCAGGGGACCTGAGGAAGCCGCTGCGCGGGCTGTGAGAGGGAGGCTGGAGCTCGCCCTTGTGCAGAGACCGTCGTCTGTTTGCTCAATGGGGACGGCTCTGGGAGCTGCAGGGGAGGGGCTGGGGCAGAGCGCGGCCGGCTCTCACAGACCCCTGGGTCGGTTCACTCTCCCGAGCCAGCCCCGGGCCCTGCAGCTCCCCACCGCACCCGGCCAGAGACACTCGTGAGCCAACGGCTGGTAAGAGGCACCAGGAGGACGCTGCGGGGATGAGGGTCAGGAAACCCGTCCCCTGCCATCGCTCCCGCGCCCCAGCAGCCCCCAGACGAGGCGCCGCTCCCGCTCCGAGCACAGAGGCCACCCCGAGGCGGCCCCGTGGCCCCCAAACACTTCTCACCTGACCATGCACGGGTAGAACTGCTTGTCCCAGGTGCTGTAGAAGGAGTTGGTGACGTAGAGCCTCTTGCCATCCAGGCTGAGCTGCATCTTGCTGGGGCCGCCGTACACCCTCTTGCACTGCAGGCAGAGCGCGCGGCACCGCGGTTACCGGCTGCGCAGGAGGCGGGAGCCGGGCAGAGCGGAGCGGCCCATCCCCTCCCTCCCAGCAGACACGCGGCACCTCCGCGGGGACCTGCCCCAGACACCCTGCGCCCACAGTCGGCGACGCGGAGCCCAAGGCCGGAGGACGCCAGAGGCCGGCGAGGACGCAGAACTCACCTTGATCACCAAGGGCTCGGGCTGGCACCTCATCTCCTCATCCTGGCACACGGTCACGGGCCCGCACCTGGTGAGGAGGCCTCCCACGAAGACCTGCGAGCGAGGCAGCGGCACACACGTCGCCGTGTCATCCCCCCGCCCCAGCTCCTGCTGAGGAACCCGCAGCCCAGCCCCGCTGCTCCTGCCTCACCTGTCCCACCAGCCTGGGCTTGCAGGACCTGGAGAGCTCGTACTGGCGGATGTCTCCGTGCCACCAGTTGCAGAGGTACAGGAACCTGTCGTCCATGGAGATGATGATGTCGGAGGTGAAGGCTGGGGCAGAGAAACGAGGAGCTCCAGCAGGGCAGAAACCACAGAAAAGCTGCCCGGCCCCCGCCCCAGCCCCATCTCTCCATCTCCCCATGCCTCCAGCTCAGGAGCCCTGCCCGGGCGCGCAGGCTCTGGCAGGAGCAGCGGCAGCTGCTCGGGGGCGTGCAGAGCCCCGCAGCCCCTCCAACGAGCCTCCGTCACGACTGAACAGCGAGGCTTTGGGGGTCAGCGAGGGGCTCTGCCAGGCTGCACGGCACAACGCTGCGGCAGGAGAAAGGAGACCCCCCCTGAGGGCAAACAAACCTGGCATCCTGGGCATGATCCATCCTCTCACGTTTATGGACGGAATGCGAATCACCTCCTCTACTTCCCAGCAGCCTCTCTGCACAAGAAAGAGCGGCCCCGCACCGTCAGCTCCGGGCTGGGCAGGCAGGACCCTCCCCTGCACCCACACGCGGGCACGGGCAGGCAGAGCTGCCGCGGCACCGGCTGCTCCCCGCAGAGACGACGGGGCAGCAGCCAGACGGGGCTTCGTCCCCCAACGCCCGCTGCTCCTCTGCCCCCGCCGCGGGCACAAGCCTTGCCTCGCACTTGCAGAAGCGGTAGGTGACACCGCTCAGGGCGCAGCTGACGTATCCCTCGGCAGCGTCGGGGTTGTGCAGGAATCGGACGTTCAGGGGCAGAGAGTCCTCCCCCAGGTCAAAGCACTGGCTGAGGGTGCGGCAGGACAAGTTCCAGAAGTTCAGGCGGCGCCCGTAGATCCCTGAGGAGAAGGAAACCCCCGTCAGAAGAGGGGGGCTCCCCGCGGACACTAATCCCGGCCCAGAAGGCTCAGGGCAGGCACAGCCGCGGCGGCGACTCGCCAGGACGGGCCGAGAACCTGCGGAGCTTCGGGGAGCGGCGGGAGAAGGCCGGGGGGCTGCAGACGGCCGTTCGGGGAGAGCCCTGCCCGTCCCCCTCCCCACGGCACCGCCACGCGCCCCCCTCCCCACCGAGAGCCCCTGCTCCCTCACCTTTCTTCAGGTCGTTGGGGTTAAACCCGCGTCCCGCAATTTTTGGGACAACCCCAGCAGAGCTGACCAGAACGTTGTGGCGTGGCTGGTACCAGAAGTCGTACCCTGTCGGGGGCACTTCACAGGTGTTTTCCCAGTTCCCCTTGAGCTCAAAGGTCTCTCCATCCAGCACGATAAATCCACCTGGGACACAAAAGGGGACCCGTGACA